CAGCAATTAACCACTAGGAAGAATGTATGCAGTGTGTTAATTATTGAAACTGTCCTAGAGATTTGATTTGAAACTGTCTCATTGCTATTTGCTTATCAATATAATTATGAAAAAAAGAATATTCCAAAAAAACTCAAAAGAAGATATACAAATAGAAAGGTATAATACAAGTATAAGGAAAGCAAGAACTCGAGGACTAATTAAGAGAGTTAAAGGAGAAGAGCTAGGAAACATGGAAGTGATAAGCCATATAGTTGTATGTAGAAAATGGGAAAGGCAATGATCCTGAGAATCTCCAAATGATTTTTGAATCTAGCAGTTAATTGGAAAGATTCTCACCCTGATTAACTATATATACTGATACCTGTGTACTAAGCAACTGCACTGAAGATGGTAATCTGTAATAGTAGTTTCATGCTTGGAGTGCCTATCATTCTGGTCTTCTGAATACGGGGTTCTTGTCATGACATGCCAGTTGCAGCTGTGCTGTCTCTCGGGTAAATAATTGTTCAAAAAAAAGGGGGTGGTGAATGAAGGCAAGAGACAGGAAATGGAATGTTGCGGGACTGTCCTGCTTCAAGGTTGTATATAGTCAGATTTTTGAATTTATTTGTAAACACAAGAATTATATAATGTGTTATGCCTATTTTTAAACTATATTCTAAGTTTTAAATGTTTTTTCATCATATTCTGTAGTGATTTTAAGTTCAACATATCAATACTTGAGGAAAAATACCTGTTCCATGTTATGCCTCAGATGTTTGATATTCAGACAGATCGGGAGGTTAAGCTTAACAGCCTAGGTTGTATGGTAATGACAATAAGCTTGTCTTCTGGATGGTTAACAACCTAAGTTTGCAGACCAAAATTAGATTAAAAGGAGGGCCGCAAGGAAAGCCAACATTTTGGCCCGAGCCTTTTCAGGTCAATTAAGACTCAGGACATATGAGAACTTGCACTGTAACGTCACGTAACTCGGTAGTGTTCCAAATTTTCTGATCAAGGAGATTATGGGGCCAAAGAGTAAAGTGATCGATGATGTAGAGTGTGCCTAAGGAGAGTCACATGGGGAGAAAACACTCTCTCAGGCTTTCACAGAGAGCACATTGGCCAAGCAATGGCTGTGACTCATCCACATGGCTGCACTGACAAAGGTTTTACAAT